CCATTTTGAACTCCTCCGTCCATATAACAGAAAGGTAAATTCAAATGTATCATGCTGGCTAGAAAGAAAGCTTACCCGAAAGTTGCACCCGAACCAAGCATGTATTTTCCCAGAGTGCGCATCACGCCGTTAGGCCCAGCGCCATATTGGAAGATAGTGACAGTGCCTTAGATCATGTAAGCGATATATTCGCGAAGGTGAGTCCTTCGATGGCACGAACCGATGATAAATCCCATGATACCACCAACGGCTAGAAAAGAAGCTTTGATTAGCGACGCATTCATGCGAGAGGACATTCCCGCAGACTTACTTGATCCCATCAGCGCGCCCATCTTCACTGCCACAAAGTTAGCTCATCATTGTCCGATAAAGCTAGGATAGCCATCAACAGATGTATGCGGACATCGTCAAATGTCCAAGCGGTCTCCGAACTCACTCTTGTCAAAGGTAGAGGGGCCATGGCCTTGAGGTGGAGCTGCAACGACAGGCATTTTCGGGAAACAAGGGGGTAGATGTATTGTATTCCTGAAGGGACCAAATGCTTAAAGCAAATATCGAAGCTAAGATGCCAGAAAATCAATGCTCTTTGTGCAGCGACTTTGATGCTAAGCCTGTTCTTGAGCAACCAAAGCTTCTAAAGGTCACTCCACCTACAAGCCGCGGGCCTATTCCGTCAGATGCACGTGACCATGAAGAAAGTCCAATGCACTTTGAGGCGGCTTCTTGTTCCATGATGGCACGTGCATTATCACGTGAGTAAGGGCCTCAGGCGTCCAGAGGCCTAAACTGACCTCCTCTCCCGCAGTGTGTTGTGTGTGCACCTCATGAGATTTTGTCCTGGAGCTTTCAGCCTTTGTGCGTCAATATTTTTGCTGTTTTGACGGCCTAGAAGCCTGTATAAGGCGGCAGTCCCGTCTCGTGCCTCCTTCCTTCCCCTTGGACGGCGTTCTTTCATCAGCCGGTCGCTTCTCCGGCTCGGACCAAGAATCACACGGCTCCCTTGACTTGACGCACCTAGTGTCTCATTTCCATACTTTATCTCAACTTTGCTCTCCAGATCTTGGTTTCAGAGGTAGGTTCGACATTTCGTCTCTTGAACGCGGGTCGCACCGACTGTATATTGCTTTCTTCTTTGGTGAAAATGGCAGCAGTTCGGGTTTGTTGGCACCGAAACAATGCTAACGTGACCTCCTCAGAGTTGGTAGGGATCAAGAGTGAGTGCTCTGGGCGCCCGAGCATCGCAATACTTCAGCATCAATTAGTCTTCATCATCAACATTCGCGAACGAGCTTGGTATCGGATAAATCATTGATACCCCGACCATTTATCAATTCGCTCCTCGACTGCGCGCCCATGCGATAGGCGGCGTTGGCATATTGAGCTTCTGATATTGTCTATCACGGCAGCCTCCTTTCTCCATGACTGCTGTTGCATCACCGCCTAGCGTGCAAGAGGGTCCTCGCTTGGGATGGTACGACTCTGGTAAAGGAGGACAAGGAGCTCTGACTTCAATGAACGACGAAGTTTCACGGATGTTCATGCCACGAAAGACGATTCAGAGATCCAATTCTTCCTCGTCTCTAGGATCAAACTCTTCCACCTCCACTGTAGTCGCCGGTTCGCAAAACGCTCATGCAGTACAAAGCAACAACGCTGAATCTGGTACCTGGTCTTCGAAGAAAAAGTCCTCCAGGAGCATTTGGCCAAGTACCAAGGCTGAACCGGCAACTGGAGTGAGTACCACACGTACGCAGGTAATGCCTGCATTCTCCTCTGGGCCCGGTGCCGCCTCGGCCATGTCCGCTCTCCATCAGCCTTCGTCTATTGTTCCCTCGCAGCACATGCTCCAGTCTTCTCAGCAGAATGGCGTCCGCGCTGGCAGCGCGCCATCGGGGGAGCCGCCGGCCATATTGACGCTTCTGCCGATCAACGGCACCTTTGAGAAGAAGCAGATTACCGTTCCTTTCTACCCAGAAGTTTTGCGAATTGGACGACAGACAAATGCGAAAACTATTCCTACTCCGGTGAACGGCTTTTTCGATTCCAAGGTGCTGTCTCGACAACACGCGGAGATTTGGGCGGACAAGACTGGCAAAATCTGGATCCGAGATGTCAAGTCGTCGAACGGCACCTTTGTTAATGGCCAGCGCCTGTCTCCGGAGAATCGCGAGTCAGAGCCACACGAACTTCGGGAAAACGACACCCTGGAGCTGGGCATTGACATCGTCAGTGAGGATCAAAAGACCATCGTTCATCACAAGGTCTCCGCTAAAGTAGAGCACGCCGGGATCTATGGGACTTTGCCAAACATCTTCGACCTCACCCTAGGAGATTTGGATCCCGCTTCTGGTAACGGGCTTCTCCCATCCCCGCTCAGTCAGCCCCTGTCGCATCTCCGAGGACGCTCCGGGAGCACGATGAGCAACAGAAGCTCGCAAAGCGCTGCGAGCAGCCAACTCAACGCGTTGCAGCAGCAACGTCAGATGAACTACTGGAATTCTCCAATCTCCATCGAACAAATTGTCAAGAGGCTTACAGTATGTTGTTTGCTCGCTTTTCCTCCGAACGTAACGTCCCACTAATTCTTTTGCGCGTCTAGAGTGAAATGAAACAGGCCAAGCAGCAAGCACAAGACCTCCGGCAAACCGACGAATTTCTAGCATCTCTAACGAAACCGGGTCACCAAGAAAAAGAGAAAGCAAAGCACTCGCCACCAGACAGCGGTGTCTCGCGTCAAGTCAACGGCAGACCTAAGATGCCGCGCGTCGACTCGTTCTCAAGATTCTCAGACCCTCCCGCACCACCACCGCAGCAACCGCTTCCCGAAAAGCCTGATGCGCCACCGCGTACAGGTGCCGATGCATTCTCCCCTCTTAAACGTTCAGACACGGAGAAGCCGAAATTAGGTTCAAACAACTCACCTGTTTCGCGTGAGTCCAGTCAGATTCTGTCTTTGATCGAGGCATTGTCGTCCGCCAAGCGGGAGCTGGATAGTCAGGGCGCTCGTGTAAAGGAATTGGAGACTCTATTGCTGCAGGAGCGTAATGCGCGCGAGTCTGCGGAGGAGAAGGCCAGGAGTCTGGAGTTGCAGGCGAAGGGTATCGACGGAAGATCGCCCGAACTGGGTACTCTGTCCGATGAGGTGACGATTAGCGAGCAGCACGCGCATGACCAGCCTACCAACGCCGAAATGTCTCCTATCTCGGACTCAGACAAATTATCCACCTCAGATACGCTCGCAGACACTCAGGCTAATCATTTGCAACTTCGCCTGGAGATGATGATGGAGGAGATGGAGGAGATGAAAAAGCAAGTCGCAATGTTTAGAACTAGGGCAGAAAGAGCGGAAAGTGAGACGGTGGAAGCACGCAAGTCACTGGCTGAGATGATCGAGTCTCTGCGGCGTGAGCGTGCCGAGGAGTGCGAGATAGACAACGAATCTGCAGCGCAAGAGATTGCTATTACTGGCGAGCTTTCGGCGACTGACGACGCCACCCATGTTGCAGGCGGAGAAGTAGAGAAACAAGCACATCAAATTGTGACATCGTCATCCCCATATACCAACGTTGATGGCTCTGGCACAGCGTTCGCGAAACAGCCCTTGAAACACGATGTTCTGGAACAGACCAGCCCATATGCGTCGATGCTTGGAGTGGTCCTTCTAGGGGTAGGCCTTATGGCCTACCTGAACGGATGGCAGAAGATGGACAAGTAATTGTCTTCTTCATTGTCTTCCTCATCTTTCGGAACGTCGTTTTGAATCATGGTGTTGAGCGCACATGAGCATCGTCATCATTTCATTTGGCCCTCAGCCTTTTCCCTCCCTTTTTTAACCTTTCCTATCTATTGTCTTGTCTTGAGTACTTAGCTTCCCATGGGTTGGTTCTCTCCTTTTCCTTCGTGTACACTGGTCACAGGTCCTTGAATGGTTTCTTGCCACCGGTTGCTGGGGTATTTGGTGTTTTATGTTTCCATTACTCTCTTTTGACCTGCAGTTATGACATTGCATAACCTGCATCACCGGACTTTTCCATGTTTCCTCCTGTTACAGTGCCCTGTTGACCCAGTTACGACTTTCTGGCAGCAGTTGGTTTTCTCATCATTTCACGTTAATGTCTCCTTCTTTTCTGGGCAGCAGCAAGTCGTGTGGGGCTCACCCTCTGTGTATTAGTTCTATCATAGCAGCATCACTTCCTTTGAGAGTTTCCGCGAAGCGATGAATGACTGAATTTTCTCTTATGATTGCATGATTATACATTGCCCATCTTCCTGGTTGCACTTTTGCGGGTTAACCAGTATCTCAATGCTCGAGATTAAGATTAAACTTTTCAGCGAACCCACGCATTCCTTTGTCTGCATTATAATCGCGGGCTGAATAGTCTAGAAAAGTCTCTGCTGCACACATGGATAGCTTTATTAAATGAGCATTTTCACCTATCGCCACACTACAAGCTGTTTGCTTATATGCTGGAAGATTCAATCCAAGATCTCCTCCACGATAGAGCCCCGGCTATGACATGATCATATCTCACAGATAAGATAGTCCACCACATTTAAGCAGCCCACATTTTGAACTGCGACATCAAGACGTAGTGCACACCGGAGGGATATGGCATATTCTTTCGATCTGAAGCACCGTCACCCGTCACGGCCACGTGGATATCGTCCTGGCTGCGCCTCGATCGGCTATTATAGGCCCGTTCACTAGAATGGGTAGCGGTGACGATGGCGTTGTGGGCATGGGTGCTAGAGTGTTGATTATATAGGTGCGGTGGGCATTTCTGCAAGCATGGCCCCTCATACGGTATGAGGCAGCGCTGAGGTGGAGCACAGATCGATATGGAGTTCTCCTCAGTCTGTCACAGCCTCACAGGAGACACACCCTGCGGAGGAAACTGGTGAGGACACCATTCATAGCGCGATGAAGTCAGCCACTACGAGGCTGAGACTCAATACACAGTCTGAGAAGGGGGCTTTCAAGTGCCACTTCCGGGGAGCGTTCACTTGAGCGTCACAGCGATTTCGACCATGTTGACCCATCGCGTTCGTGTCTCCGGCAGCTCCTCACCGGACGCTGAGGCTAGAGCATCAGCAGCGCGTTTCCTCTTCTTCGTTTCTGATTTCGATGAACGCGGCGCGGGAGCGTCGCCAAACGGATCTGGCGCGGTTTGATCACCATCGTCGTCTTTCTTCTCCTGGGCTGGCTCCTGCTGCAGAACCCTTTCTGCCTCCGCGATCGCCTTCCGCTTCGCCTCCTCGTCTTCCTCGATGTCGTCGACGACGAGCACACTCCCCGTCTTCACCCGAACCGCATACTCGTTCCCCCGGTCCTCGAACCACCGCCCAACGCTCAGCGCCTTCTCGATCGCCCGTCCCGTAGCCTTGACAAACACCTCCTCCTTGCTCAGCTGCTCCTGGCCGCGCGCCACCTGGGCCAGCTTCTGTCTATCTGTCCGCTTGCTACTCGAAAGATTGACGGCCGCGGTGGCGCGTTTTTCGGCCTGCCGGAGAAGCTTCTGGATGCGTTTGACGGCGCTCATGAAGGGGGAGTTGGTGGAGACGTAGACGATTTTCGGGACCGAGGCGCCCGCGTAGGGGGATGCGACGGGGGCATGCGGGATAGGGCGTTTTTGGATGCGAGCGTCTGTGTTGGTGTTGTTAGTGGATTCGATTCGTTCACCCAGGCGTTAATGTGGACAGTACATTTTGGAACCTTGAGCATGTCTTTGTTCTTTTTCTCGAACTGGAGGTTTTTGGCGAGGGGTTGTTTGGCCATGATGGTGGATGGGGAGCACTCTTTGGCTATTTGGCCAGTGTTTGCGTTAATATCTCTTGATGTGTCCGAATGGTCTGATGCTACTCCGTACGGATGATGCTAATAATATCATCAGAAGTTCGTATCGCTTGGTCTTGGCACTTCGACGTTGTTGGTGCCTTCGTGCCTGGGTGCCTGGGTGCCTGGGTGGACATGCCGACCAATCAGAGGATTTGTTCTTCTACAGAAGTGCTCTTTTGATATTGACGAGCTGTTGGAGTCTTGGTATATCATTCAACTTCGTTTAATCATTTAACAGCAGTCTGGTGAGATCATTCAAAGAAGATTCTTAAGCTTATATACGGAAGTATAGCATTGCAGCATCCAGATACCGCAAAACAATCAGTCCCCAGTGCAGCCGATTGCGAACAATATATCTCACTACCAGCAACACTCGTTTCATGCACATGCAGCTGCTCTCTGATAAGATTCCACCATGTTTCATTTCAGCGTATCACATCGTGCTGATAGAGTTTCTTATATAGGAAGATTGCCTCGCTGTGGTTTGAATCACAACCCAGGATTCCAGCACCGTTTCCTGTCCTGTGCGCTTTGAAGGTTCAGAAAGTCCGGCCCCAAGGTTGAATCCGGAATCATGGCATCAGCGTCTAGAATATTTGCCCTACGAAATCAAGGTATAGATTATCACTCGAATATATTGCCAGTTCTAATTGGTGAGAACTGGTCGAATGGGAGAGCTGCTACTTGCCCGGGCATGCCTCTCCTGCCATTTGTGATGAATGAAGAAATCAATCAGCGCCTTGAACTTTACACGAAAGAATCGAGTAAGGTGAACTTGATACAACACTTGGGGATCATTGGGACCTGCCCTACAAGGACGACAACGCAATTCCCAATCCGGCGATCCTTCGGCCGGCCAGACCATCTCGGATACAACCTCCAGCAAACTCAGTCTTGCTGAGCCGGCCATTCCGACCAGAACAGTTGAGATATCACCCAATGAGACAAACAGCCCAGCAGGACTGCGGGGAAAACCGAACTACTGAGATCGATGTTGTGGAGAATAGACGCGGCGGATCCAATGGTCGACAAAGGCAAAAAGCAAACCTTAACACTCTATGATCATGACATTCTGACACAATACGATTGATTGGTGAGAGCGAGTGGATTCATGAGCCTATTGCCGAGTCTACATGAGGACAAATAAGAAGTGATGATCTAGAATTTATCTACCTTATGTCGGGCCTAACGTGGATTTGAGCCTTAAGTGTATTGTCATTCGTCGTATGAATAAAAGTCGCTAATATCTGACAGTGCCTGCTCGCTTAGTCGCTCCCCCCATTGTATAGACTATTCGTAACTTCGTAAGATCAGCCATAATCCGCCTCAAGGTGGGCGGACAGCCTCAAGGATGTGGCATAAGACGATTGCAATGGGTCAAAAGACGGCATTCGCATGCAACATGGGAGATGAATGTGCCAACGTCCTTCGCCCAGGCACAAGCATGGACGCATATTTTCGACTCTTGGCAGCGAATTTGTTCTTCTTCTCCGTTGCGTGTTGGAGGGTATCGTTCTCGAGAGACTCCCGTGCTGATACACGCACCAATGCATTGGACTTTTCTGATTCAAGGGCTTGAGATGTGCTTGTGATGGAGCGACGGCGAATCATCGCCTTGACTGTCTTGGTGACTTGTTCCCGGATGGCAGAAATGTCAATCTCGGTCCTGTCGTTGGCTCCGTAGTTGGGTCCGTCGTCGTCGTAGTAACTCAGATAGTGCATGTGGCGTCTGCGTTCTGCTTGGGCTGCTTCCATTGATTTGCGAAAGACAGCGTTGTGGCCGACGCAACGGCGCAGATCGGGCGACGGAGACGCAGTTTCTTGTTGCAATTTGCCATGGGACAGATTTGCTACCTTGCAAGGAACGGCGGCTTTCCTGGCGATAGGAGGTATACGAGTGTTGACGCGAGAAACCCGGCGGAAAAAGGTTGCGGTAGTCGGGAGTACTTCCATTTCCCCAGACAGGATATTGGGGCGATGTGACCCGGACATCGCGTTCAGATGATGGTACTCCTCTTTGGAGTTTGGGTTGGTTCAATTGAATGGTGTGAATATCCAGATTGTTCTGTTGTTGCTGAACTCAGGTCGAGCAGGGTCTAGAGACCTTATATCTTCGTCTAGAATAGTTGACGAAGCTATTGACTTCGCAGCCTCTTTCTCAAACCGGTAAAGGCCGGATTTGACCGACCTCTTATCATGTATTAACTCCACTTTTCGTGCCCGTCCATGGTTCATGAAGATCGTCTTCCTGTCAATTGCTGAGTCCCGCATGGCTGGACGCCAGCCACCGACTCTGTTGCACTCCAGACTGCTGTTCGATGGTTTTGACCTTCAACCGTGATTGGAGTAGGTCGACCTTTCCTCCTGCCTGATCGAGAAAATGGGGTGTGTGTTTTGAGGGTGGCGAGTAATCAAATCGAGTCCTTGATATCATGACTCGAACCGTTGCCAAGTGCGGCCATGAGTAAATCAACAATGACATTGTCGTTGCAAGCCCATGAGATGGTCTTCCTGATTGTCTCAACCGTCAAGATGAAGTCTATTCAGAGTCGGTCCAAATGAACATCAGACCCAAAGCTCTTGTTTGGAAGTGTATTATCTTTGACTGTAGATAATATGATATAATGATATCGCATCATTGTTGACGGTGCTCCAGTAGTAGTCCATTATCTCTTGCAATCTCCTTTTGGCACGTGGAGGAGCAATCCGTATGGATATCCATCTCGGTATACTATGAGGAAGCATTAATTTAGCCAGTCATAACGCAAATGTTTGTTCTTTCTATTTCAGGATAAGTACTATTGAGTTCCACACGATCATGGTAGAATAATGCTCAATCAGTATGTGCATTCAACATGGTCAAAATGATAGTTATTGATTCACTCACAGCTTTGTCACATAGTCATTTGCTCCAACGCGAGGCATTTTCAGATGCATATAAATTCTGCCCTCCTTTACAGAGATGGACGTTGAGAGAAGGCTGGGAAGGATGGGGGAGAAGACTGTCGACGCCTGAGGCAGCACTTTCTGGTCTCCTGTAGTCCTGCTTCATGATCCTGTCGTCTTGTTTGCACCCTTACAGTTCCCCCAACCCGCGCCAAGCGTGATGTATTGAAATCTATCATAGCCTTGAAATGCTCGTGGTATCTTTGGTTTGCTTTTGATAAATGACATGATTAGCTCTGCCTTTCCTCGACATTGCATTTTGGATTCTGACGTCCATGAAGGAGTCATAGCAAGATGTCCGACTTGGTGACTAGTTTTGAATATAAATGATTGCAACCAGACAACTCGCTAAGCGCTTGCAAGCATGATAGCTCATGAAAGCCCTCTGACAAGCACTCTCATGAGGCTCCACAGCTCGGTCAATACTTCTTGTTGCTGACACTGACCCTTGAATCAATTTGGCCCCCTTGTGCTTTTTGTGGTCCTGAAGACGCAAAGCATAATGCGTTATCGGCTGATACCATTCTTCATGGTCTGGTGTTCAAGTGACCAAGTCCTGAAGATCTGTGTCTCCGATAAACATGATCGCTCCATTTGAACCAGCATGCTGCTTAGCGTATTTTAAGTCATTTGTGACGCAGATGCCCGGTCCGAACTCATCGGTTCGATTGTCTGGAGAAATCGAGGTGAAAAAATGTCAGTGAGCTCAAGCGCGTAAAGGGTTAATCCCCGAAAGTAGACGTCTTTGCTTGACAGAAAGTCATCAAGAAATAGGCTCTTCGTCAAATTTCAAAGATTGGCAGGATCTCTGACATGCTTGCTCGAAATCACCTTAACAAACTGAGGAAAGCACCCTCCTCTTGCCCAGGGATAACGATCCCCGATACTGCGAGAAGCAACGGTTCGTCGAACAAGACACGGTATAGCGAAGACAGTCCATCTTTGAGGTGAGAGTGGTTCCTCATGAATGCATCCCATTGCCTTGTGCAGGACCGTGAGAGATAGCTTGCCCCCTCCGACGGACCGCGAAACCAGATAATTGCCGGGGTCCGTTTCAAGAGGGCCTGATGTCAATTCGTCTTCGATTTGGTAAGCTGGTCGTCAATCATGTTCACACCTTCCTTCTAGCCACAAAGCCAGAAGATCGTGCGAACAGATCCTGCGATTTGAATGACTAGAAAAACGGCCAGTAAATCTTCATACCAGGAATAGAAAAAGTAAGGTAGTCAATACTGCGACCATCTCCGACCTCCTCTTTCAGTTCATCAGGCATCTCCCCTGGAAATTCCTCGCCACTGATCCATACTGGATCGAAGAGCTCCCGGACAAGAATGTCCTGGTTCCTGAATCCACCCTATGAGTGGGTGACCACGCAATCTGTCAAAGGCTTGAAACGAGAGATGCTCAAAAGATGAAGGCGAGAATCAGAAGATGGAAAGGGAAAGAAAAGACATTGGAGAAAGACATCAAACTTGATTTGGTGATTAGCTGGACATCATGTAGCTGTTAATGAACGTCGAATGTCAATAGTCAACAAGGTTTGATGTGAATATACACGGAATAGCTATAGCCAGTGGTCATCAAATAATCATCCACAGATAATAATGAACCGCTATGTCTCTGCCAACTACTGAAACTCCAATCATTCAACATTGTCGAAATGTTAGAGTGGGATTCAAAGCCAGATCCGCGTACCTACCTTCTTGATGACGAGTCTTTCAAATTGAGATACTCCATTTGTATGTCGCACAGCATACCGGACTCGTGATGTCTCTGGCGTCATTCCGACTCATTCGCCCTAAACTCACCTTTCGGCTGAAACCCGGATAAACTGATCATTCAAGGCAGACGAAGATCAAATTCAATAGAATCATAGAAGGCTGCCCCGTCATGCCTATTTCGGCATGGACTTTGATCCCGAGAGAACGGTTGGAGCGGGGTTCAGGGGCCGAGTCCGACAGGCTGGAGATGCTAGGCTTGTTGAGTCGCTAGCAAAGCATAGCATGCTGTCAGTAGTAAAGCGAATAGACTCAGGCTTCACAAATCTCTTCGTCTTGGGCCAGTATGAGGGACGAAGTTCAGTCAAAATGTCCTCATGGGCACGAGCGATCGCGCCTCGATGAGCGCTCTCGGATAATTTTTCAGCGGCATCAAGATAAGGGCAAGATTGCAATGCTTTGTTGATTGAAATGAGATCTATCCAAAAAGGTCGCGGTAGGAGATTCTCAAACTTCAGACTCCAGGTTTCGAAACGCCTCCTGCAGCTTGACTGAAAATGGGAGATGGCTGGTTTCCTTTCATGGCCACTGACATCAGCTGAAGTTGATCCCTCAATTGTCGAGGGTGATCGACGCCAAACGATGAAGGATCAACGTTTGGCATTACAGCGTATGAGCCTATGACGTCCAACGGTGCTGCGTCTTGGGAGTAATGCCCGATGATGCCCATATTTGGGAAATTCGACTCGTGTGTGGAGTAAAAAAATTACCCAAGGGTTCAAATCATGCGCCCGTCGAGTACGTCAATCAGCACAATTGCACAAGCCTATTATTACTGAGAATGATCATTTCGAAGTTGCCTGCTCATGCGGCAGTTTGAGACAGATACTCAGCGACCCACCAGGAGTACGCAGGAATCGAACCACGGAGCCGTTCTTTACACTTGTCTCAGCGCAGCACTATGTAATGTCTAGTGAGGAAATCAATCTCAGGATCATCACTGGTTGTGTGCATAATGCAGCGTGTCGCACGTCACTCCAAGATTAATCGCTTGACGCATCATGCGAGATAACGGCACGGCGAAATTTGGAGCAAAGGAATTGACTGCTCACTTCGGTTGACTGGAAAAAGAGGAGATGCCCGATTATGGGCCTGGACTCGAAAGGCGTGAGACAGGAAGTACGTACGTACTTACATAGTGTCTTAGATTCTTAGTGTCTTAGGACTTGGGGTGACTAGGTCCGTACGTACCTGGACGGACAACGGGACAACGACGCGCTAGGATGATGGCGGAATCCAGCATACTGGGGCCGGCAAGCAGCTCGCCAACCGACGCCGTTACGCGGGGGGTTGTTTGATCCACCTTACTGACTCAGCCATTCTGATTTGATCGTCCTGGATGTCTGGTCCGCGCGGAAAGTCGGGAGCCTGCAAGGTCAAACAAACCACAACGAACGGACTTGTCCCTAGCAGAAATGGTTTCTCGTTAGGTTGTTTCCAACGGGGTGGATTTATCGAGTCTGGACTTTTTTAGTGTCATTGTCTCATTGACGCGATTCCGTTGGACAAGACGGAGTAATTTATCCATGAGTTCATTACTTTCATGTGAAATCGGACAGAACGCCGATTGTGAGGGCTGATATGATGGATGAAAAGTTTCCTTTGTTTGCCGGAAGATGGGTGATTGATTTTCTGTGTCACATTGGTGTGTGCTCTGCGAGTTTCATCGTACGTCTGTCTGCGAGTTGATGTCAGTATACTCCGTATTCCCTAGACTAATGCGCGGAAAAAAAGTGATTGAGAATAGAAACAAAGCCCTACCGTGACTTAAGTACAGACTGTCAGACAGCAATTGAGTATGGTCATTGGTAGAATTCGACCTTGGACTGGTGGCAGCATCCACCTGGCAGTTCCCACACAGCGGAAGGCGAAGGCGAAACCCATGGAACCGGAACACAGATCGAGGGGATTCGTTAGTCTATCGAAATTCGAAATAGTAGTGTCAATTGTCAAAGACTCGAAGGTTCATGACCTAGGTAAAGTTGATCAACTTGATTGTAATTATTGATCGGTGGGAGGGGCAAAAGTGGGACGGCAAAGAGAGTCCAGAAGCCTCGATTGCCTCTTAGGCTCTTCCCACGGGCTGTGTAAGGTATCTAATTATTATTAACGAACCCGATCAGTGCGCTGCTTATGATGAGGATTATTAGTACGATCCACCTGTTTTTTCCTCGGATGCTGTCCATGGTTATCATTTATTATTCTTGGGTCTTCCTCTTTGCCCTCCTTCTGTCTATCTTGATGTTGTTGTTGTTTTGGAACTGGTGA